GATTTCATAGTGATGAGGATTAAGGAGATCTTTGTAGATCTTCAGTTAATTCATTGTGCATTTTGCCCTCAACTACAAACGCTTCCTCCCGCAGTGCTACAACATCTACCGCATGTACAAGAAGCCCGTGTTAACCATCGAAATGGCTGGGAAAGATTTCATCGCCTCCGAGTGGACTATTTCTCATCGCGGCCAGGAAACCTTCAGAGCGTTGACTCAATTTGTCCATGAAGTTTTGCCTTCCGAGGGCGGCGGCGGTGGGATTGTCTTTCCCGATGAAGTTTAGGCTTTCAAGGGCGGCGGCGATGGGATTATCTTTCCCGATGATTAATTACCAAAGCAAGTCGGACATGGTGGAAGGTGACGTGGGGAGTCGTTGTATCCGTCGATCATTGAGTACTGGTAGATTTGTCTGTTGAGGTAAATAATGCAGAGGGGTGAACCATTGAATATGCATTTTATACGAACGGGACATATCGTGTTATCGTTGTGTCCATGTTTCACCACTGGGACCATAGAGTTGGAATGAAATGCGTCACAATCGATGGAGTATATACACGTATATACACAGTGCTCTGGGGTGTACCCTCCATACGAGGTAATATCTCCGTAACAACAACATTAGATTCAAACACAAGAGATATGGCGCTAGCACTACGCTACCGTACGTTTGGGCGAACCGTCTACCAAATGGTACGTATAAGTCTATCTACGCTACGCTATAGAAGTCCTGGTTAATGGGAAAAAAGTGGGCAAAAAGCTGGGGTAGAACTGGTGACCTTTCGGACCCTAAGTTCAAACCGCTAGACCACGGTGGCTGGTTCTTTTGGGATTGCTGTTAAGCTTAGCGTATACAAAAAGAATCAATGAATTATATCCAATAAGAAGCGACCACACCCATTACTACAGGGTTAGTTCGTCGTAAGAGCGGTCAATTAATGAGCTCTAAATAGACCTGTCATTTCAAAATCGTTGTTGAACGACGGAAATAGACCTGTCATTTCAAAATCGTTAAACGACGGAAATAGACCTGACATTTCAAAGACCCCAGAAATATAATACATAAATATCCATAACCATAATCAAAGCTATATTTATTTAATTATTGGCTTTTCATACTCAAGCTCAATTTCATTTGATTCTTACGCAGAAACCAACACTACCAACCTTCGTCGTCGTCCACTTCATTGATCCCAAGTGATTCTATGACAGAGAAGATATCGCTCATCTCCAAATTGGCGGCTGTTTCGACTGCAAGGTCGTGCATCACCTTGCCCAGGCCTTGTTCGCTCAGCAAAGCACACCAGTATCGAACGTGTCGAAGCAAGGGTCTCAGGGAGGAGCCCTGAGTGCATCCTTCCTCATGTGTGGCACGTTGTAGATTGGCTTATTTAGACCAATCCTTAGTTTGGCCCAAATGTTCTCAAATATGATTGGATAGATTTGCAGAAACTTCAGTAACGTTACTATAAGTAAGGCCCAACGGGCATGTCGTTCACTGCACTCGCAGTATTTTTATTGTGATTGAGAATAGTATTTGGACGATTTTAATTCAAAGTTGCAATCAAAGCAATAGGAAATCTCAGCGGCATTTCAATACAAACCACAAGTCAGATAGACTTGAAATTTGGAGCTAATCTGTTTCATCCTAATATGAAGTACTTCCCAAAATTTCATCAAAATTGGAGTAGTATTGATGAAGTTACGAAAATTCGGGAGCCTTTTCGCCCAAACGTACGGGGTACACTTCTCGGCAAGTGTGCCACGAACGACATTACGCTTCGCTGAAGAACCCGAGTGCTCCACCATTTCTGAGCATGATACTGTCCTTTTACCCCAAATTTGGACTTGGATGCTGATTCACCAACTCCATTGATCGATTCTTTGTACTGACTTTTGAATATGTAAAAATCGTCCAGTGTCACGCTAATTTTCACACACTGATTCGATGTTGGTCGAAGAGTGGATTTGATTGGCTATATGATTATTTTTCTGGGTTATGATTGGTCGATCGTTGGTCTGCCGATTTGGTGCTGCTCATTGAACATTCAACGTGGAATAATTACCTACTGTATGTTTGTCGACAAAAGAGGATTAAAACTACAGGATTGTTTTCGTGGCAAGAGTGGAAGAATTCGTAAATACTAGT